TAGGCAGGGAGGGGGGATAGCCACTGGGTCCAGTGAACAAAGCATATAGGCAGGGAGGGGGGATAGCCACTGGGTCCAGTGAACAAAGCATATAGATACTTTGCAAACTCCATCTATTTCTCAGTTAACAAAGTTAAACAACCGGATGTATTTCTTAATAAAAAATACTGTTGCTAAGACTTACATCTTACTCTCTTGTTCCCGGTGTCTAACCAATATGTCACCTGCCTGGTTATGCCAGACTTTTAGTGGATTATTTTCATAATGTTAGAGAGGAAGTGAAGTGTTTCGATCAGTTCCTGAAAAGTGGAATTATGCATGAAGAGAAACACAACGTTTCTCTATACAATACAGGCACATTCCACTACCCACAGAAACACAAGTCCAGTAGAAGGTCTCTCTGGATTAATAAATACTTAAGAAAATCGAACCAACTATATTTTGCCCTGGATACTTGGAGACTAGCAAATTTTGTTGTTTTTTTTATATATATATAACCTTTCAGAAAGCTAAAAGAACACAAGATTCATTAAGACTTTTTCAACAGAAAAATTTCTAATATGACATTTGCGTCCTGCTTTGTGTAAATGTGGAGTTTTGGAAAAACCTTCACTGAGGAAACGTCAAAGCCAATACCCCGACTACCAAACGCCCATGAACCTTTGTGAGCATGTAGAAGAAAGATTATCTGACTCAATGAGGGTATTACAAGGCTGCTATTAGAGGAATTACAGTGTTCCCTTTGAGTAATGAGGCACCGTAAGGTACTGTCAGTCTTGTCAGAGGAAATGAAACAAAGGTCTTTTCTTACGATTTTGTTTTATCCTGGACTGATGCTTTTGTTTTGTCATTGGTAGCGTTGAGCTTCCTCCCCCCCAGGACTGATTTGAATTAGCTACCCCACAGGGCAGTTTACTGTATCGACATGCAAGCTGAAATTCAGCTTCAATTTTCTTCCCGTACATGACAATAACAAGCACATTTGTCAGGTGTTCACCTGTGAAATACAGGAGGACAGTTTCTAATTGGCATGGCTGTTAAAAAAGATTCAACAGAGGATGGTTCCGTGAAAAGATGAAGTCCGGCTGGTGGGCAGATCTCCATCTCTGCTAATGTTGGTGAACCTTGGGATCTGCTACACACCTGCAGGAAATTATGCTGGAGGATTTTAAGAAAATTCATGCCATTTCTTACACTGAAGTCCCCTGGGTATAAAACACCTCAGTTTGCCACTGTTGTTAAACCACAGCTGTAAATCAAAGTCAAAATAGCCTCCAGAGGAAAGGCAACAAATGCAGCTTTGCAAGACCAGGGGAAGACAGGGCGCCTGGCAGGGGGAGCCTGGGCAGGGGGCGCCGCTATTTTAGGTGTTGCACTTCTGGATGTGAGATAGTGGTATAGGATGATGAGAAATTACACAGGATTCCAGGCTTTGTAACTACTACCAGTCCAGCTGTATCCCATTAAACTATAAACCGCTGCATTTAGTTCGATGTAATCGCTACCTCAGAGTCACCTTCAACTTATAAAATTTTAATACTCACCATCACTGTAGAAAGCCTTAGAGACCAGGGATGGAAGAGCCTTCTGCTTGACCTTCCTATAGGGGTGCCTAGTTGTGTCCAAGAGCAAACGTTCAGGGATGGAACATTGTGGTGATCATGTGTCGGTTCTGGAACAGATCATGGACTACTTATATGCAAGATCCAAGTTGAACTGAAAATGGACAAAAAAGTCATCTGACCCTCTAGAATTTGTGTGCCAAATTCAAAGAAATCATTCAGCAGGGCAGTAGAAGAAAACCGGTCAAAATGTCAGAGATGTGGATGACAGGTAGCACATTAGAACTGCAGAACAGGAGCCAAAATCAGGAGAAATAATCATATTTTGAAAGCACTGGATCACAGATTATGGACAGCAACCAGCAGGGTGAAGCCCCATAGTGAAGCGAAAAACAGGAGATCACAACTAATGAGAAGACAATTAGTGAGGTATGATGGAAATGGAGATCATACTGGCCCTGAAGAAGAACATTATGAAAAAAAAAGTTATGGGTATAGATGAAATTCCTCTAGAAATATTGTAGGCAGTTGAAGAAGAATCAAAGTTTTGACCAATTAATGCAAAACAAATTTGGAAAACAGTTCACTGGCCTACAGATTGTAAAACATTTGTTTTCATAACACATGCCAGTAATATTATGCTACGGGTCATACAGTACAGCAAAGCCTTTGACTCTATTGACAATGTCAAAATATAGAATTTTCAGTGAAAATAGGTATGCTGTATATACAGTATATGAATGAGTAGGCCAGCTCAGTAATTTGCAACACAGGATGTAGCTGGTTTTCTCGTGTTTTGAAGTCATGCCGGCCAAAGCAAACACGGGGAGGAGGTGAGCTGCAGGGTCAGTCGCGTCAGAGGCTTTCCCTCTGACATCGAGATGGCTGTTACCTCCTTGGCTCGCAGTTAATGGTGGGGTTCATTCCCTGAAAAAGTAGTATGCTTTGTAAAAGGATGCTGGGAAAGTAAGAAATATTGTGTCGTCTTTTTTTTTTTTATCTGATAATAGGTGATTTTTCTTGTGAAAAATTGCAGCACAGATCATCAAGTGACTGTACAAGTGCATGTGTGTGTTTTTGAATGCCACTTAATAATAGCAGCGCCTCTTGGATGGTCTTCACAATACCTTGTTTCCTCATTTAATTCACTTATGGGTCAATACAAGCACAGTGGGTGCAAATTCCATATGGAATCACTGGGAGTATCCTTATTCCTTAAAAGGAGTACTGTACTGCTTGAAGGTGTGAATGATATGTGGTTCACCCCTTTAGGGGTCTGTGTACAGAAGGGAAAGTGTTCAGGTCACATTTTAGTCGAGTAGTCATGTCGTTGTTGGGCCTATAGCAAAGGGCTTGACCCCAGCTACTCTAGGGACACTAGCTGACTTGCATTTGGCTGTGCTGTACAATATAGATGAAGAAAAGCTTGGAAATGCTTTAATATTCTGGATTGTTACAAGTACAAGTGCTAATAAATTAAGCACAATTTCAGCAAAACGTAATACAGAATATATGTGGTGAACTTCAGAGGTTTAATTTAGATGAATAGTTGTCTTCTGACAATTCTGCAGTTATTAAAATGGAAATAACAAGTGTGTTAACTTTGCGATCCGTTTATATAATGAAAAGTGTCATTTTACTGAGCCATTAATTAAAAAAGATCAGTCTTTTAAACCCAGTGGATATTTCACAGCTAGCATACATTTGGATTTTCAAGCAATTGCTCTTGATGAGGGTTACAGTGACCTAAGAGGTCACCCCAAACCTCTCTCTACCACAGACCGAGTATGTTTGAGGGATTTCCAGGTCAGCTGGAAGGCATAATCCCCATGTAGTATATCCCTCTGAAATCCGGTTGAAAGTGATGTAATAAATGATAGTTTTTATAGATCATTAAGTGTAACATGAGGAATTAACAGTTCAATTTACGCAGCCGCTAAATCTCAGCTGGAATGAAAAGCATCACCACAAACAGCACTGAGAAGCACCACGTCTCTCAGATGGCATGCACGGTGCCAGTGGACCATTTTCTCCATACCTTGTCTTTGTACCTGCATGGGGCTGAAGCACACATCTGCTTTGGGGCTTCACGCACCCCATGGCTGTTCTTATTCGCATATTGGTGGCTGGGCTATTGCCAGGTATTGTGATGCCTCTTTGTCTGAGCTTCCTGTCCCTTCCAGTTGGATTGAAGCATGTGTCCTTACCTTGCAGGCACATATGATGTTCAGTTCAGGGGTGTTCTGGACCGGCCTTCTCTTCATTCCTGTTACCTCGCTCGTCTTTGACCTGGCCTACAAAGTGTGAGTCCCATCCCTGTCATTAATGTCTAACTGCATGAGTGCTGACCTCAAGGTGCAGTGTCACTGTCCTCGTTTTGTCACTGCATCTGGGCTACAGTTTTTGAACTGGAATTTGTTCATGATATATTATTCATTGATAAGTTGTCTTTTTTCTGATGTGCCTCAGGTTCAAGAAGTCCTGCTTCAAGACCTTGGTTGATGAAGTTCAAGAGCTGGAGGCCAGGTCTGAAGATCCCGGGGCTGTAGTTCATGGGAAGAGGTATACCTCTCTCCACCCTTTTTGCCTTTATTTTTCCTAATTCTTTGCATGTACATTTAAATCATCTCTAAATATCTTTAAATAAATCACGTTTACCTCCTTAGTCATGCTGGGAAACTTCTCCCTGTTGTGGGTCTTTTTATAAATTAGTACAATGGTACCTCAGAACTCGAATTTAATACGTTCAGAACTCTGGATCGAACCCTAAAAAGTTCGAGTTCTGATTGAATTTTCCCCGTAAGAAATAATGGAAAACCAATTAATTGGTTCCCGGTCCCAAAAAATTACACCTAAATATGTTTTTTTTTTTTAGCATTTTAACACAAAATGAACCGGATAAAACAAGAAAAGCATATACTGTACTAAACACATCTAAGCACATTTATCAAAACAGTCATTTGTAAAATAATAAAATAAATATATCCAAGTAATGTGTAAAGTTAAACAAAACAATGTGTCCTGCCCCGATCGTCCGCTCCTTCCGTGTGCCACGCCCCCTTGTTAACCTCATGTGGAATCCCCGTGTGATCAGCTGTTTCTGGCTGTTTCTCTGTATTTTGTCCGAGTTTCAGTTTGTTTCCCCAGTCCGGTCATTGTATTATCCATCTGCGTTTTGCCTGCCTTACCTGTAATTAAACCCCGTATTCCCCGATACCCTGACGTCTGCGCCTTTGTCTCCGTTCTGTCCCCACTCGGCACAACAATATTATTATAATTAAACATATTAATGGTTTATTATTAATATTAAATTAATAAGAAATCTTTGTTTTTAAATGTATTTTATTATATCATAATAATTACTGTTACTGTCTATCATTGTCTAAATGTATTTTTACTGTCTAAATATATGTATTCAGCTAGTGCAAACATGCACAATGCTATCACAGCGAATGCAAGGCTGAGACTGGAGCATTACCCTTTGTCTCCGCTGAGAGACGTGCCGCGTGACTTTCCCCCTGCGTACAAGTTATCTTAGGTCGGCATTCACGGTTTGACTTCTGAGATTCAGATCGAGTTCTAGCTAATGTTTTTTCGAACTGGTTGGTTCGACTTTTAAGAAATTCGAGTTCTAATGAGTTCGAGAACTGAGGTACCACTGTATCTCATTTTTCTGACACGTAATCTAGCTTTTTAAGAACCTTTGAGGTTCTGCAATGTTACAAGACACCATCATCAAACAAAATACGGAGAATCCTGTAGAGCAACATGAAGGATTTAGGGGGTAATTGTATAGTGTCTGTGTCTTGGTTAAGATTCACAAGATGCACCAGATAATTGCAGATGTGACACATGTGAGCTACTGTCCATGAGTTTATTGAGGTTTGCTTTTGTAATGGGGCAGTGTGTAACTCTGGGGTTTATGACTCTGTGCCTCTAACTGGAAAGTTGTTGGTTCAAATCCTCTGGCTGCCAGAATGATTTCACCATTGGGCCCTTGAGCAAGGCCCTTAACCCCAATTGTTTTAGGGACCTGTGACTCTCACTTGTATGGACAAAACCATCAGCTAAATATGTGCATGTACTGTAAATGTACCCCAGCATGAACAGTGATTGTGGTCTGCAGGGTTCTGTTGCGGGAACCCCATACAAACACTCTTTTCATGCTTGACCAGTTTTGTGAAGCTTGGGGGTGGAACCCGGACTTCCTCTGGCTGTCATTGGCATGAGGATAATTGCATGACGAATGGCAGCCTGTTGGTTTTGGCAGAAGTTGGATAGGCTTTAATGCAGTCGTGAGACCAGTCCCTCTCCACTGTGACACTGTGAGGTCAAGATCACCCATGATTAATGGACACACCGTGTAATTTAGCCTTAAAGATTAATGGCCACCCTGACCCCATGTTCGATGGGCGGAAACGTATAAACCCTTGTATGTTGTTGTTGTCACATTTCTTCAAGTGCACTCCCTTCAAACCGCTAACTTTCCCGATTCTCTCCCCCTGGTTTATTTGCTTCTCTAAGTTCTTATTTGGTTGTGAGACATTATTTGCACATTCTTCTGAATAATCGCTTTCACCTGGGTTCCTTGATGCCCAGAGTAACCACAAAGGTTAAGTGTGAAAGTCCTATGGCATAAACCTGTCAGAGTTTATGGCACCAGATGATAATTCAAATAAATAAATAAAATAAATTACTTGGTTTTATAGCTTCTGGGCACACATCCACATGGTGCCTCATTTTATAGATTCTAACAATTCAGTCATCCTATTTCCTTTTATTAATGTACCTACAAGTGATGAAGTGTCATTGAGTTGACCATTTCCCCCTTATTGAAGCTCTGCTTGAATAAGACTCAAACATGCACACTTGCATTAGCACTTAGTTTAATTCGGCTCACAAGGCTTGTCTTGGTACATGGATTTCAGGTTACAGTACAAGAAGAGGAGGAGATTCTTCAAAGCCATTGTCACATGATGGACCAGATCTATTTCTTGACTTTATGTGCTTAACGTTCTGCCTTTTCAGTTGTTCACTGGATGTGTGTTGCTAATATCGCCCCGCTTTGTTTCCCTTGGTGAAACACCAGAAATGTTAAGGTCTTACCCCTTAGAGCCTTGTGTTTGGACATGGATACAAATGCGAGAGCTGCCATTGCAAGTGTGAGCCGTTTGATTCCATCAACACAAATTAAAATGTCAGGCAGGCTCGCTGCCAAAGCCCTACTAGGGGAGTCTTGTTGTACGTAGTGCTGAGTGAGGCTTTTTGTTTGGTTTATCAAACGTCATGCCCAACATCCACAGCCATTTATAGGTCAAGGTGAAGATTTACGGGGTCTCTTATGCGTCATACACTAAAAATCTCGTTTTGTAGCCTAATAATGAGTGGCTACCAAAACCAGATTTGCTTTTCTGATGTGGTGGAGCTAAAGTTTTGAATAGCTGGGCAGGAAACTGTGATTGGGCTGGAAAGTCTTTAGGGTCCTGAAAATCGGGAAGCGTTTTCTTACCGGTGTTCACAGGTTCTGGTGTTTTTTCCTTTTTTTTACCTATTTTTATGCTTGGCAGAGACTCTCTAAGACGTGCTACAGGGACAAACAGCATCAGTCTGTAAGGGAATGTTTACTTTGAAAATTGGCGGCATGTCCATAGTAAACAGCTCTCAGACAGTACATAGAGCATTGTAACAGTTCAGGCATACAGCACAGTACCACAGCAGCATACACATGACACGCTCATCAGTGGCTTCAAGAGTATTCATCATCTTTTTGTTTTTGATTATTTTGATATTTTGCTTGCTTTTTTAGAGTACTTTAAAAGGGTTTAAAAGATAGCAGCCAATGTTTATAGTGCAAAGAAGCTGAAGCTGGAGGCGGGATCAGTGATGGATTCTCATGATTGGTTCCCTCCCTACCATGCTGAGGGAGGGCCAGGTTTGATTGGCAGGTGAGAACATGAGTGCCCCTTTCTGTTTGTGCATGTCGATTTTCAGCTTGACGGAGAGGGCCCAGCTCCTGAAGAACGTCTTTAAGAAGAACACGGTCACCATGTACAGCTCAGAGTCCATGCAGCAGAATCTGCTCCGTAAGTTCACGCGTTCACATTCAGACACATGCATCACAGATCTTCAAAGGGAATATTGATATGACTGATTTCTTCACTTTTGACCATATCACTATTGAAGTGTGATGGTGAATGAGGTGTAACAAAATGAAACTAACCCTTTTAATGCCCATTGAACGCCCCCCCCCCTCCCCACACACACACACACATTTGTATTCATATATTTGTGGGGACTCTCCATTCATTTCTATGGGAAAAACCCTAATCTCTACAATGACAACCTTATCCTACCCAGCCCTAAGTAACCAAATAAAACACAAGACTTTTGACATTTTTTGTCTTTTTAATTGCAGTCACAGATTTTTATCAAATTGAGTTTCCCCTTCTGGGGACCGAAAAGATGGTCCCCACAACATCAAAATAACAGGTTTTTAATCACATTGTGGGATCATTTGGTCCCCACAATACAAAATATATACGACCTGCACGCACACACACACGTAACTAGCTCAGGTATTCTTCGACCACCCCATGGTACTTTGAGGACTCACAGACACACCCACGGTTGTACGAAGTTGAACGCGGGGTAGATCCAGAAGTAGACAATCAATCCATACACATTACGCTTCAGCCGCTGGTCAGTCTGCCAGTGTGGTGCCTTGTGCCTTTGGATGATATTTGACTGGTTAGCCATTTGCCGAGCCTGCCAGCCCCTAACAGAAGCACACAAAGGCAGTGCCACTTCACCCCCATGTAAAAATGTATTAAGATGTTCCCCCCCTCTTACCAGCCTGTTAAACATCATTCCCACAATGCACTTCCCCCAATAGCCGCCCTCACACGCCAAGTCACTCGACATGTGAAGGTGAGTTGGGAGTCAAGGGGTCAGTACCTCTGAGTGTTGGGTGCAGAAGGGAGGCCATCGCCTCCAGGTCTAGAATGCCAGCGGATGACCACGGAAACAGCCGAAATGAAAAAGTATGTTCATTTTGTTCAGCTGATTCAATCGCAAAGAGATTTGGCCGCATGTCCAACAGTGTTGGCCAAATCATTGCAAAACTTTGCTTTGTCTGTTTTCATGTCGGCATCTCCAGTGTTTCCTGGCCACCGTGGTGTTTCTAGGTCGCGTGCAGGTCTCTCCTTAATCGGCAAAGGCATCATCCGTGTGTTTTTCCCCCGTAGCTTGTGTTTTTTTGTGTGTTTGCAGTGCATTTGTTTTGTGGCCAATGCCCACGTTTTGTTCTTGTCAAAAACCACAGGGTGTACTTGGAAAATTGGGAACTGGGAATTTGAGTTGGACCTGCTGGGTCCAGCTGGCAGGTTTTGAATGAGGTCCTGCATTCCGATGCTGAGAATAAAATAACCATCATGATATACAAAAACTGATGTAATCAGTCACCTATAATTAAAATTATAATGAGTCAGCCAGCCAATCAATCAAGTACATTTAACATGGTGCATTCAAACAACGAGATGACCAGCAAGACCTTGGCAGTAATAATGGGGAAAAAACTAGCAAATCTAGAAAAACTAATAAATGAGCCCTTCATCAGACGTAATAGAATAGTACTCTGAAATGTAGCGTGCAAATGCATTTGCAGATCATACATATATAATAATTGTGAATATATGAGCATGAAATATATTAACAGTCCGCATTTCGGACTGTTTATTGATGGTTTATTCATGGAATTGCATCATCATTTTAGAGTGACAGGCAGAGAGCAGGTTGGTGAATCGTGTGCTTTCATATCTCTGCAGGGCTCTTTGCCGTGGCACGAGCCTCTCACTGCTTCTCCCTGCCATCATGTGCGCTAACTCTTGTCATACCCTCGCCTCAGATGGCTACGCCTTCTCCCAAGATGAGAACGGAGTGGTCTCCCAGTCAGAGGTCATCCGGGCATATGACACCACCAAGCGGAGGCCGGACGAGTGGTGAGGCCCGGCCCCGAACCCCCAGCTGAGCTCCTAGCCCCTCCTTCCCCCGAGCCGCAGCGATGGCGTCGCGTGGCGTGGGAAAGGACTGATGAGACTGACAAGGCAAAGGCCGGGAGCGACTCCCTTTGCCGTTTTTAGCGGGAGAGAAGACGGGAGACAGATCTATGGAGCAGGGAAGGAATTTGAGTAACAAAGACTTCAACGTTCATGTGTTTTAGGTGTGTTTCAAGCAGGCACAAGCACTGCATTCATGTTCAGTGGTATGAATTTCTCTCTACGGGGCAGACAGAAGAGGGAAGATGTTTTATTTCAAGCTGTTGGCTCTGGTTGGGAGGAGGGGTGAAGGGTGGGGGGTTCTTACTGAATGGAGCCAAACAGCTTGTCTTAATTTACAGTATCGTAAGAGCGAGTCCATGATTACAGCTCCGTATTTCCACGAGCGTCTGGCTGAGGTTCCTCATTAGGCATCGGCACGTTAATCTGCGCCACAGGTGCAGGAAATCCACACCCCTTCCGGCGAGAGACAGCGGCCACCCAGCGCAAGCTGAGAGCCGTGAGCGGAGAGCACCTCAGTGTTTGTTGCCAAAGAGTCACCGATGTGATCGACCTCTGTGCTCCAATCCGTGGATGAAATACCAAGACGTTCCCCTTGTTCCGGCTGGCATATTCTCACCCTCCGGCCCAGGAGGATTTTGCAGGATGTGTGTGTAGATAAGGATATGCCAGTCCGTTTGCGTCTGAATTCACAAGATCTGTAACAGCTATGGTGTATGCCAAGGCCTCATTATATATACATTGAAGCCTTCACCTTGTGGTCATTTTTAATTTGGGAAACTGGTTGTTTTTAGACCTGTTTATAAACACATAGATAGTCACGCATATATGATATTTTATTTTAAAGGTCGTTGTCACCACACTTGTGGATCAGCGTGTTCTAGAGCATAAGCTGTACCTTCCATTTACTCAGACGTGGTGTTAATGATCTGCGCCTTAAAGAACGTTGGAGATCTCAGCACTAAACTCGGAGGGCACTCGCAAAATTAAGAGAAAATTAACAGAATTCAAAGGCATTGCATTCGATAGCGGGGGAGAGAGATGTCGCCTGAGTTTTGAATCTGCGTTGTCATGTTAGCTCTTCGAATAGAGTTTATCCCTTGAAACAGAAGTGCCATTAAGCTTTGGAGGGGGAAGAGTGGAAATACCAGGTCACTGGCAGTGTACTTCTCTCTAGTTCTTTTGTGTATCCATATTTTTATATTGTTAAAAAATACATCACACAAGCATGCTTTATATATTTTTTCCAATCCAGACCTAATTTTAACATGCTTTGAAAAACTTGTGAAAATTTTTGTGTGTCGTTCCTGTATTGTTGTTGTTTTGAAGTTACTACTCTTATTTTTTTTTATTATTATTATTATTAATGTTATTACTGCTCTTGCTGCTTAGGTTTAAGTTCTGTCTGTGAGGTCGTCCTTCTCTCCCTATGGGAGAATAGTCATTGTACTTTTTGTGTGTGTGTGTGTGCGTGTGCGTGCGTGTGTGTTCCTGCAGGGGGGCGCCATTGCGTCGAGCCCATTCTGTTTATCGTGAGCGCTGGTTGCGCAAGTGCCATTCGAAGTGTATTGCCGACGTACAGCATGATGCTATGTGTGAAAGCAAGAGACTGTGTGCCGCCAGTTTGCATGAACCCCCCCCCCCCCCCGCATGGCCTGTCGTACAGCCCCTGCGCTGTTGAGTTCCATCTCATTACGCTGCCACTGGACACAAGTCTGTCAGCCTGGCAACTCAGCTGCGTTCCCATACCTTCCTATCGGCTTGTGTTGCTGGTTGACTGTAATCGTGGTTACATGTAGTGGTCAATAGCATGTTTTAACTTTCAACAGTGTTTCTCCAGAGGGACACCTTTGACAAGTCGTCTGTTAGCGGGATTCATGCTGGCTTCCTCCCAGACAGTAAACTGCATGTCTGGTAGAATCTCCTGTGTGAACAACACCTTGATGCTCAGCCTGGAAAATCAATCTGCCGATGATACACGGATTGATTTATCCCTTCATGGGTGTCCGTGTTTACACCTACTGTCCAAATTCCACGCACCTTTTTTGAATCTTGTTCATCTTATTTGAGGGAGAAGCATGAACTTGGCTTGGGGGCTTTGATATTGGAGGGGGGGGGTTGACATCCACTTTCCAGAATGTTCTGTCTGTGGAATCAGTGGCTGCATGAATGGAAAGTGTTGTTCAGTTCAGTGTTAATGGTACTTTGTTTCTATTTCAGGAATTTAACACTTGAAATGCACTTTTTCGAATGTGTTTTTTTCCTTTGTTTTTATTTGTCCTGACTTATTTTACTTGCGTTGTGATTCTACTGCATGTTAACAGCTGCAACTTTTAAATGTTATGTCTTTTACTGCCATGAAGGACAATGGAAATAAAATTTACAAAATAAGAGTGTTTGAATTTTCTGTTTGCCTTCTCCATCTTTGTTATTCAAAGCAAGCAGAAAGAATTTTGCTCATGTTAAAAACTATTGCAATTCTTTCACATGGGTGTTATTGCTAAATATTACAAATTCCACCCAATCTACACAGGACGTGCATGTACATTTTTTTGACCTTAGCAGAATTTGATTTCTCCCACTATTCTGACCTGAGATATATTTATTCAAAACGTTATAAGTGTGACAAGTTATTTTCTGTTGAACTTTACTGTATTGTCCAAGTCTGTTATTATACACACACACTGAATATGACAAGAGATTTAACAAATACAAGATGACGAATTCTTGCTGCACTGCTCAAATTAAAACTTCTACGTCTCCAAATTTAAGTCTTCAAAATAGTAAAACTGATGGTGAAGAAGAGACAGGGAACTAATTTAAACTAATTTACCAACAGCGTTTTTTGGTTTGATCGATCAGGTGGCTCTTCCCTTTTGAATGAAATGGCCAGCATTGTAAAGATGCCACACCCGCCACACAGACCACTGTCAGCCTTTCTCTTTATAATGGCTTCTGACTCTGAATATCAGTTGTCATTTTTCCCCCTCAAGATCTGACACTTAAGCACCTGCAACTTTTCACGCAGTGTTTTGTAATAACTGCAGTGGATATCGGGGGGAAATGGGCTACAAACCCAGTTAAGAAGAACATTTTTAAAAGTGCATATGTTTATTAAAAAGAAAGAGAGACCCCAGACAATGGAATGCACCTTCCCAGTTTTACCGGCTACATGGGACAGGGGGCTGCCTGCTGTCCCAGCTCGGCCTCTGCTCAGTCCTCCATCACAGATATTCCCTTATTCCCAGATAGCCTCCACTGCAGTGTCTCCATCTGTGCCACCATGTCCTTCTGTCTGCTAACAACACAGATGCAGAATAATTACAGAATTGGCTTCTGTCTGCACCTATTAGTCAGTAAATGTGGCCTTTTCATTTTCATAGGGGAGTGTGATTCCGTGGTGTAGACAGGACTCCAGTTCAACTTTGGCTGAAGTCTGCAAAGGCTCTTCCCCTGGAAAGAGGATCCGGAGGGATGGGCAGTGAGAAGCAGGGCTGGGAGAGGAGCAGGCCGGGGTGGTGCTGTTGGAGCTGTAAAGCGGGTTTCGTCAGGTCATCCTGGCTGCAGAGCGAGAAGCTGTAGGCGAGCGGAGGAAGCAGGCTGGATGTAGGTGTAGCTGAATGACCGGAGCTTCCACCTCCAGTGGAGCTGGAGCCGGTGGTGATGGTGCTGGACTGGCGTGAGGGGGGCCGCGGGGTGGGGGAGGTCACCGTGAGGATCATGGGAATGGTCTCCGCCTGGCAGCCGGAGAGGGAGTAGCAGCCGGACGCCTGGGTCGGGCGCTTGGGCCGTAGGCAGGTACAGCAGTAGACGGCAACCAGAGAGCCCAGCACCACGAAAGCCACAAACATGGAGCCCACCACCAGGAAGGGCATGTAGATCGGCTCTGTGGCACAAACAATGGAGATTAAAGTCCATTAGAATTAGATGCTGTCTTCCCTGGGCAGCTATGTCTCCCCCTCCCCCACCCAAATCCCTACTCCTCCCACACACCTCAACCTCTACAATCTGCACCCCCCCCCCCCCCACACACACACACACACACACACACACAAACTCCCCACTTATCCAAATAATGTTTATTAAAAGCCCAACTTTGTGTGACTTGTCTCAATGTAATCAAGTTCACCTGCTGTGTCTGTCTGCCCATCTCTTTGCTCTGTGCTGTTTAAACTTTGATGCAATTTGTCTCAAAACTTGACCAATTCCAGATCTTAGCCCATACAATGTGCCTACATATTTTGAAAAAGATCTGTAAATACTTTTTGAGTTACTGCACTAATGAGATGTGTGTGCAGTGGCGGACTGGTCCCCTGTATTCCCGTCCTAGTCAATGTGGCTCCCTAGGCGGGCATCACTGCTAGCGCCCCCCCCCCCCCCCCCCCGTCTGTGAAGTCGCTGCCCCTCAGAAGGTGCCAGCCCAGGCGCTCGCCTGTGTCACTGATAGGATTGACTGGCCCTGACTGATCCAAATATTCCCTGTTTAGGGGACAACCGAACTCTCCCAGAAAACAACTCACTGATGCATGAACATAAACAGTGTCGATCTGTTGTGGCAAATATGTTATGCAAACTGCTATTGCCATTTCTCATGTAGACTGGCTCTGTACCATAACAAGCATAGATTGCTTTTGTCATATAATGTGAAAATTGTCTCCTTAACACACCGAGGTTTGGGATAGAGCTTAATTTAATTCTGTAATCTAAGTGAAAAATTCTAGCCTGTATATTTGCTCTGAATGATAATGCTTAAAAATTGCCTCTATTTGTGTAAGATAAACCGCATTTATTATATATATAAGAAATATATGGGAAAAGTATATGGAGAAAGGACACACTTATTGGTGCTCATATTGTAACTTTAAATAATACAATTTACATTCTTTAAATGCAACGCTTCCAGCCAATATTTCCAGCTCTATTTCCTATAAATTATACAAATAACACTGGAATGTGAACAAAAATGTCACTTGTTTTTGTTGCGATAACAGAAATACCACAGTTCTTTAGTGTGGTTTAAAACCACTCTCATCACGCCATATTTTCCAAGGAGTAAGTTTGCATTACAGTTTTTCTGGAGGTTAACGAAATGGAAAGTATCCTTATGAGAATAAAAATCATCATAATTCCAGCATGTTGTTTAAAATTAAGTGTTAACATATTATTATTTTTTAATTATTACTGTATTACCTAAGTGAATGTGTGACATAATTGCGCGTGTTTATTAACATGTTCGACGTGAAAGGATACACTATTAATTCGATTTGCCCAAATTAAATGAGATAGATAGATAGATAGAAGATAGATAGATAGATAGATAGATAGATAGATAGATAGATAGATAGATAGATAGATAGATAGATAGAATTCTTACAAGGAGAATGTAAAACGGAATTTAAAGAATGTTTCATATTAAAACATTTTACTTTATCATTGCTCTTGTTGCATTAAAAAAAACTTTGGGCTATTTTTACAAGTTTCTTTTTGTATATGCTCTTTAAATACTGCATGTTCTGGAATTAATGCGAGCCACCTGCAGAAAACAGCTACTTACGCGCCACCAACTCTGGGCTCTCCAGCCTCCGGTCGTTGGTGCAGCCGCCCTGGTCCAGCCTAGCGTGCGCGGCCGCGCAGCAGTACCGCAGCGAGCAGGAGCCGCAACACACAGCCGCGTCCCGGGCGTCGAAACCCTCTGGGCACTGGAAGCCTTCGTGGTAGTTCCCATTCCCATCCAGCCAGCCGTGACAGTATTCCCCCTGCGCATCGGATATCCACAAGTGCACCACGAATTGCCCGAGCATCAGGAAATGCATAAGGCGCCTCATCCCGAAATGTGCGATCGCTCTTTCTCTTTTTTTCTGCAAAATAAAACAATTCCGTTCTTTTACTGTCTTTGGGAAGAATCCATAGCATTAGAAAGGGAGGTAATAAGGAGAGAAGTTGTCTCGTGGTATTCAAGTAGTTCAAAAGAGTCTGGGACGAGGCATGTTAAGGAATAGGCTATGTTTTTTTCCCACGAGAATGGTTCATTAATTTTGGCTAGTTATGCTTTTACTACTTTCAAGCTAATTTACCATAAGCGACCGTAATAAACAAATAAACAATAAGAATAATCATAACTAACTACGCCTAATGTATCGCTGTTCGGTAGTTTTCTCACGGTAGACCTAAGGGACCGTTTCAGAGAATTGATTTTCCGCACGATTTATCGTAACTCGGATATGCAGGGAAATTTGACTCTCCCATCTGTATCCGAAAAAAGGCTATAGCGATCTAATTGTTGCTGTCATTCAGTTTTCCAAATACACATTGCTTGTTTTGAACACATAAATTTAAGCTATGACCTCGGCATCCTATCCAAGTGGTAGCCCCATATCCCCAGTATATTCCTCCTGGAACGCTGGGCATGCTCTCCACTTCTTTGACACAGACACTACGTTTTGTACCTGTGACCGAGGCGCGCCACCTCCGACTGGACGACGTGCGCGTTCCCGGCCAGCATCCAAGAACAGTGTCCGCTTTGTTGTGCACATTTATTCAATCAATCAAGTCCTCATTAACTATCTATCAAGTTACTTACTACGCTACATCACACACTATTACGGCCTATCTGTCGGTTAATATTAATTTGTACTTTATTTTTGCATATTATCCTGTATTTTTGCTCACTTTTTATACCCTTTGCACGTGCACACTCATATTCGTTATATACCTCATACCTTTATTAAGACATTTTGAAGATACAACTAATGGTAAAATTAAAACTTATTCTACTAATTGCATTAGAGATGCGCTGTTTGATAGATTCCCCCGGTCCCCCCTTCCTGTGGGGCGACCTGAGCTCATCCCACCCCCGCCCCCCTTCCCCATCTCGTACTTCCTAGCTCACAAACTAGAAACTAGCTTAATTGACCTGTACAGTGACATATCACTGACGTGATGTGCAAATGAGCGAAAGAAAAAACGATCGCGCAAATGTGACAATTTGTGTGTGTGTGCGTGCGTGCGCCCTGTGCCGTCCCCGGCTAGATGGCGCCCTGTTCGGCTGCCCATGTCGCCCATACCTAAATCCATCAGTGCTTGTAGGACTGTATTTCAACATAGCGAAGGCAATTCCTTGCCACAATAATTTCCCTCGAGATAAAAAAAAATAAGTTTTATCCTATCTTATTGACTTCTTTTGAGTATAACTGTATACACAAGGTATTCTTTTTCCCTACATTTATTTATACAGGGTTTGTATTGTAGTCAATAAACACAAAAACACCACTTTTCCGACAGGACAGATTTAAATTTAATTTCATTTTAAATGCTTTGCTTGCGGAAATAAATTTTTGGAGAATCACACGCAACTTGTGATTTAAGCGCTACAGCGCTGTACCGCCCTCTAGCGGTTGTTATTATTACTTGACTTGGATTCACGGATCAAAATCAGAACGAGAATTAGGTATATTAGCCAAGTATATTCACACACACCGGGAATTTGTCAGTGGCTCTACATACAGTTGATACATAGTTGATAGAAAACAATGGTCACACAAAATTTGGTTGATATATACAAAGTGCATGTGTTTTAGTTAATGTATAGAAAGTGCAGGAGTGCATGTTGCTGCAAGGAATGCTTAAATTAATTCAATATGTACAAAACAATGCAATAAGTACAATCAATTATTTACGACAATGTGGTACTTCATAGGTATGTGGGGTAACAGTGTCACTGAGTTGAGCCAACTGGGTCAGTTGTTCATATGAGCAGTGGTGGGCACTGCTAACTGAAAATGTAGCTTCGATAACCGTAAATCCTCTAACTCCAAAAATCTAGTTTGATAAAGCTAGACTGATAAACCACTAAAAAATTTAGCGGAAGCTAATGGTAACTACTATCTTTTATTATATGAATTTAGCTTCGGTTTGGTTTTTGGCTTAAAAATATACCTAGTGAGCTAAGTTTTTAACCTGTTTAAGACTTAAGTCCCATCTGTTGGACAAGAGTGACTACATGGGGATATTTAAGACTTACTTAATTGGGTATCATTGGATTCTGTGGAGTCTCTGGAAGAAATACACATAGAAATGTGTTCTCTATGATATTCTGTGAGATATAAGCGTTTTGGTAAGAGGAACCCTATTTCACATCTAGCCCCTGCTGACATTTTGCCCTCAGTGAACCTACTTGGGAACTACAAACATGGCGCATTTTAACCGGAACTAAGAAGGAGGGTCTCAGCTCTCTATTGTCTACTGTTCTGTCAATCAGAATCCAGAAAATACAACCCGGGGCTAACTAGGATAGCTTAAATCGAACAATGTACCCAGCTATGCAAGAAATCCAGCTTTATGATTCAGGTCCCTGTTCTGTGCTTAGTTCAAGGTATCCAGTTTAAATTAACTCTATCTTTCTTCACTTATGTCTAGCCCAAGCTACCCTAAATCCGACAAGTTATCGACCAATCATGTCTTGTGTTTACTCGTAGTCAGCAAGCAGCGTACCAAATAGACCAGGAGTATTCAACTAAAATTTATAGAGGTCCAGTTAGAGAAAAATTCTTGAAGCAAAGGTCCGGAAGATCATAATGTCTAACTATTTAATAGTATGATATATATTTAAGTAGCCTATTAGTTGCATCAACATTGTATGTAATCAGTACCTGACTGTCAATCAAATTAATTCAGTACAATTCAAAAACGTTTTGACAATATTTATTGTCACGTGACATAGAACTTCGGCCAGCTGGCTGGAGTGAGATTT